TGGACTTTCTCACTTAAAAACACATTAAAACTACTTTTTACCCACTGATCACAGCTAATATAGCTGCCATTATTACAGGCAAAGAAAGGATAGAGTAGCTCCGCCCAATGAGCATCAGGCACACTTTTTATCCGCTCAGCTGAAGCAGCAAAGATGCTTCAGCTGCGCGTCAGAACTAAACTTGTACAAGCATCAAAAATGAAGCAGCACGAACGGTTTTGCTGCCCCTGCTGCGTGCGGCTTGAATGTAGCATTAATGCATTCTCCGTCACATCTCAACCAGTCCGGCAAAAGACCGCCTTCACTGGAAAAATTATCTAGAAATAAGTAAAAATTTCTTAAATTAACTGCTTTTACCCTTTATTTTAGTAGGTAAATGAGATAGTTTGCCAATGGAATGAGTATTTTTACTCTTAAAATAAGATAATTAGATAACAAGCACTTGAAATAAGATAATTAAATTGTTTTCTCCTATTTTAAATGTAAATTGTCTTGTTCCACTGGCAAGATGTCTCTTTTACCTCCTCAATCCAAGATCAAATGCACTTATTTTAAGAAAAAATGACTTATCTAGATTTCGATTTTTTACAGTGTTGTTGCACTGCAAAAATGATCTAGAAATAAGTAAACATTTCTTAAATTAAGTGTATTTCCACTCAATTTGGGCAGGTAAATAATATTATTTGCCAATAGAATGAGTAGTTTTGGTATTAAAATAAGATATTTAGATGATAATAAGCACTTGAAATAAGACAATGTAATTGTCTTTTTCTTAATTTAAATGTAAATTGTCTTGTGGCAAAGTGTCTCACTTACCACCTAAATTCAAGAGAAAATTTTCTTATTTTAAGAAAGAAATGACTTATTTAGATTTAGATTTTTTGCAGTGTGAGCCTGGTTCTGCTAGAGGTTTCTTCCCAAAGGGGACTTTTTCCTCTCCACTGTTGCCTAATGCTTGCTCATCATGGACAGGTTCATGCAAACCTGTGTTTATCCAAGCTTGACTTCCATCTTTAAGGTCCCTGAGTGAGGATCTCACCAAGTCAGCTCAGTTCAGCAGTCTATGGACTGAACAGACTTCATCTTTCTCCGCTCCACCACCAGTTTCAGGCCTGGGGGGGTGGGGGCGGGAGGGGTGGTTGGGGGGGTACAGCCCTGTCCTCATACACCTGCTTATGCATATTAAAGGAATAGTACACCCAAAACATGATTAGCCTTCATTTTCTACTCACCCCCATGCTGAACAACACTCTGGAGTACTTTTTTGATATCTCAAATGCATCTGGAGATCTGGGAGGCTTCTTGCTGTCTGCTGACATTCAAATAATGGAGGTCTATGGCGCCCGAGACAGAAAGGTCCATAAAAGTCCACAAAAAACGTGTCAATATTCCTCCATACTGCTCGTCCAATGTATTCCAAGTGTCCTGAGTGGGTAGCGTCCAGAATTTACTCGAAACGAAGTCATTTAGAATGTTTTTAGAGCATAAACAGTAGTGTATAGGATTTCCTGAAAGCGCGTTCATGACGCTACGGAAACCGCGGCAGACCAAACCAGATGAAAGTGCGCATTCAGCTCGGCAAAGAACTCATGCTCTTCCTCAACAATGAAGTCCTCAGACATTTTTCTTTCGTTGTTTCTTTCTTTGCACAGGTAAACAGCACATTTCTTCTTCTACGCTTGCATTATCGGCAGAGCAGACGCTGAATGCGCACTTTCATCTGGTTTGGTCTGCCGGCTTCCGTAGCGTCGTGAACGCGCTTTTAGGAAATCCTATACACTACTGTTTATGCTCTAAAAACATTCTAAATGACTTCGTTTCGAGTAAATTATGGACGCTACCCACTCAGGACACTTGGAATACATTGGACGAGCAGTATGAAGGAATATTGACACGTTTTTTGTGGACTTTTATGGACCTTTCTGTCTCGGGCGCCATAGACCTCCATTATTTGAATGTCAGCAGACAGCAAGAAGCCTCCCAGATCTCCAGATGCATTTGAGATATCAAAAAAGTACTCCAGAGTGTTGTTCAGCATGGGGGGTGAGTAGAAAATGAAGGCTAATCATGTTTTGAGTGTACTATTCCTTTAAAGTAAAATTCAGGGTAATGTTTCCTGTCGAGGTCTGAGCGCCAAAGACTAATTGCATCGATAAAATTCTTCTGTCTTTTTTATTCCATGCGAGATTTTCAGATTGAATTTTATTTGAACCTGAACATCAAATGTTAATAAGATTAATCCTCATAATATATTTCTTTCCAGGTTAAATAAAGTTTATCTGAACTATAATCAAACTGAGCTGAAGCAGCATTCTTTTATTTTCAATTGAAACAAAACACTGAATTATTCTCTCTCATTATTCTGGCATTTAGTGAAAAATAATTTTGTTGAATCTGAATAATTGTCATTCAGTTAGAAGAAATTGTTTTTATTTTTTTGCCAGGTGTGTTTGTATAATTTTAATTGAATAAAAAAAGGTTTGTACGAGTATCTCGCTGAGCAGCTTCAAAACTTCATAAAAGATATAAACCTTAGATCTTATTTGCAGTTCATCGTCTCTTTTACGGAAGGATAGGCTACCAGATGAACACAAATGTTCAACACAAAGGCTGGAGGAAAAGATTGGCAATCAAAAGCCAAAAATAAAAGCTAGAGCAGACGACCATTCATGTATGAGAGGACGGTGACAGCGTAATGACTGCCGCCGCCGCCGCCGCTGAGACAGGCGTGCTCTCCAAAAACAATGGCCCCATTTCATTAGCCAGCTACTTGGTACCAGGAGGACATAGATTCCTTATTACAAAACGAGCAGAAACATCTAAAAATGAAAGATCTATTATAGATTGACAAGATTCTACACTGCAAAAAATGGAAATCTAAATCAGTCATTTTTTCTTAAACTAAGTGCAATTGTTCTTGAATTGAGGAGGTAAGTGGGATGCTTTGCCAATGGAACAAGACAATTTACATTTAAAATAAGAAAAAGCAACCTCATTGTCTTATTTCAAGTAAATATTATCTAATAATCTTATATTAAGAGTAAAAATACTCATTCCATTGGCAAATTATCCCATTTACCTACTAAAATGAAATACGCTTGAATTAAGACTTTTTTACTTCTTTCTAGACCATTTTTGCAGTGTAAACCACTGGAAAAAAATCGAAATCTAGATAAGTAATTTTTTCTTAAAATAAGTGTATTCGTTCTTGGATTTAGGAGGTAAAAGAGAGATTTTGCCGATGGAACAGGGCAATTTACATTTAAAATAAGAAAACACAATTGCATTGTCTTATTTCAGGTGCATTTTATCTAACTTTCTTATTTTAAGAGAAAAAAATACTGATTCCATTGTCAAACTATCTCATTTACCGACTCAAATTAAGCGTAAATACGCTTAATTTAAGACATTTCTACTTATTTTTAGATCCTTTTTCCAGGGGTATCAGAAAATGTGCCACAACACTGGAAAAAAAAGAAATCTAGACAAGTCATTTTTTCTTCAAATAAGTGCATTTGTTCTTGGATTGAGGAAAACAGACATTTTGCCAATGGAACAAAACAATTTACACTTTAAATAAGAAAACAATTGCATTGTCTTATTTCAAGTGCATATTATCTAATTATCTTATTTTAACAGTAAACATGCTCATTCCAATGACAAACTATCTCATTTACCAACTCAAATTAAGGGTAAATACACTTTATTTAAGACATTTTTACTTATTTCTAGATCGTTTTTCCAGAGAACAGAAATGCAGCGTAGCTACACTGCAAAATCAATCTAGAGTTAAGTGAAAATGTCTTAAATTAAGTGTATTTACCCTTAATTTGATTAGGTAAATGAGATAGTTTGCCAATGGAATTGGTATTTTTACTCTTAAAATAAGATCATTAGATAATATGCACTTGAAATAAGACAATGCAATTGTGTTTTCTTATTTTAAGTGTAAATTGTCTTGTTCCATTGGCAAAATGTCTCTTTTATATCCTCAAACAAGAACAAATGCACTTATTTTAAGAAGAAATGACTTGGCTAGATTTTGTTTTTTTTCCAGTGTATATTGATGATCTACACTGGAAAAAATCTAAATCTAGATAAGTCATTATTTCTTCAAATAAGAGCATTTGTTCTTGAATTAAGAAGCTAAAAGAGAATTTTGCCAATGGATCAAGACAATGTAGATTTAAAATAAGAAAACACAATTGCATTGTCTTATTTCAAGTGCATATTATCTAATTATCTTATTTTAAGAGTAAAAATACTCATTCCATTGGCAAACTACCTCATTTACCTGCTCAAATTAAGGGTAAATACACTTCATTTAAGAAATTTTAACTTATTTCTATATCGTTTTTTCCAGTGTAACCCTCCAAACACTGCAGAAAAGATGAAAATGCCTTAAATTTAGTGCATTTACCCTTAATTTGAGTAGGTAAATAAGATGATTTTCCAATGCAATGAGTATTTTTACTCTTAAAATAAGATAGTTAGATAATATGCACTGAAATAAAACAATACAATTGTTTTTTTCTTATTGTAAATACAAATTGTCTTGTTTCATTGTGAAAGTGTCTCACTTACCTCCTCAATTCAGGAAACAATGTGCTTATTTTAAGAAAAAAATTACTTATTTAGATTTCAATTTTTTTGCATTGAAGAGAACATTGTAAAAAGGATCTAGAAATAAGTAAAACTTTCTTAAATTAAGTGTATTTACTCTTAATTTGAGTGGGTAAATGAAATGCTTTGCCAATGGAATGAGTATTTTTGACTCTTAAAAGAAGAAATTTAGATAAAATGCACTTGAAATAAGACAATGCAATTGTGTTTTCTTATTTTAAATGTAAATTGTCTTGTTCCATCGGCAAAATGTCTTTTTTACCTGCTCAATCCAAGATCAATATGCACTTATTTTAGGAAAAAATAAAAAATTTTCCAGTGAAGAACATCCCTGTTATTTATTCTAACGTCGCCCCTCCGTCTCTTTCTTTTCCCAGGCTGGAATAAACGAGTTGACTATGAGCCGGGGACGGGCAGCAAGCAGCTGTTTCCCAAGATGCACCTGGAGACATGCGGCGAGCCGCTGTCTTCGCTGAGGGTCACCGTGGAGCTGCAGACCAGCCATATTGGGAAGGGCTGCGACCGGGAGACCTACTCTGAGAAATCCCTACAGAAGCTTTGTGGTTGGTTTCTTCTTCCGTTTTTTTATTTTTTATTTTTATCTGAAACAGCTTACAAAGGCTAACACCCAATCAGGCTTTATTTTTCTCAGTAAGTGCAATAAGTGGGCGTGTTACTGGTGATCTAAAAAGATTGTTACGCAAATGTTAAGACATAAAAAAAAACATTTTGGTTCGGAGGTAATAATGAGAAAATAATGTAAGGATATATTTATTTGAATGCTATTTGGGACGTTTCAAATGTATTTACATTTGAACATAATCTCTCAGTCCTTTTACAAACAATTACTAAAAAGAGCAAAATATATTTTTTTTTTTTTTTTTTTTTTTTTTTTATTCAATATACCATACATTTGGTTGTCCGACAGTGTGGACCACTTTGAACCATGTCTGTTTGTATTTTGTGTATGTGGGCTGTATGTATGTATGATTCTTTTTTTCTCTTTTTTTTCTTTTTTTTTTTTTTTTCTCTTTTATGTGAACACCGCAGTGCTCCTTGTTGATTTGGGGTGGGTTGTTTTTGTTTGTTTGTTTATTTATTTGTTTGTTTGTTTTTGTTGATGTTTATATAAAGCTGTGAAAACTTAAAAAAGATAATAAAAAAAAAAAAAAAAAAAAAAAAGAGCAAAATCTATGGAGGGAGTTTTGTTCCATTATTCTTCTGTTTTACAAATTGCATTCTTTTAAAAAACTCACTGCAAAAATGATCTAGAAATAAGTAAAATTTTCTTAAATTAAGTGAATTCACTCTGAATTTGAGTAGGTAAATGAGATAGTTTGACAATGGAATGAGTAATTTTACTCTTAAAATAAGATAATTAGATAATATGCACTTGAAATAAGAGAATGCAATTGTGTTTTCTTATTTTAAGTGTAAATTGTCTTGTTCCATTGGCAAAATTTCTCTTTTACCTCCTCAATTCAAGAACAAATGCACTTATTTTAAGAAAAAAATGACTTATCTAGATTTAGATTTTTTGCAGTACTGTTTTACACATCATAGACGCCCAAACTGATGGCAAGATGGAGCGGGGACCCTCTAATTATACACTACCGTTCAAAAGTTTGGGGTCACTTTGAAATGTCCTTATTTTTGAAGGAAAAGCACTGTACTTTTCAATGAAGATAACTTTAAACTAGTCTTAACTTTAAAGAAATACACTCTATACATTGCTAATGTGGTAAATGACTATTCTAGCTGCAAATGTCTGGTTTTTGGTGCAATATGTACATAGTTGCTCATTGGTTCAAAGGCTAATTGATGATCAGAAAACCCTTGTGCAATCATGTTCACACATCTGAAAACAATTTAGCTCGTTACAGAGGCTACAAAACTGACCTTCCTTTGAGCAGATTGAGTTTCTGGAGCATCACATTTGTGGGGTCAATTAAACGCTGAAAATGGCCAGAAAAAGAGAACTTTCATCTGAAACTCGACTCGACTAGTCTATTCTTGTTCTTAGAAATGAAGGCTATTCCATGCGAGAAATTGCTTAGAAATTGAATATTTCCTTCAACGGTTTGAACTACTCCCTTCAGAGGACAGCACAAACAGGCTACTGCGGGTACTATTTAATGAAGATGCCAGTTGGAGACCTGTGAGGCGTCTGTTTCTCAAACTAGAGACTCTAATGTACTTATCTTCTTGCTCAGTTGTGCAACGCGGCCTCCCACTTCTTTTTCTACTCTGGTTAGAGCCTGTTTGTGCTGTCCTCTGAAGGGAGTAGTACACAGTGGCCCTAGTACCTAGTAAAGGTCGCAGACCCCCTGTTGAAGACCTCTGATGTAAAGCATTAAATCAGTTTAAAGGAATAGTACACCCAAAACATGATTAGCCTTCATTTTCTACTTTATGGACCTTTCTGTCTCGGGCACCATAGACCTCCATTATTTGAATGCCAGCAGACAGCAAGAAGCCTCCCAGATCTCCAGATGCATTTGAGATATCAAAAAAGTACTCCAGAGTGTTGTTCAGCATGGGGGTGAGTAGAAAATGAAGGCTAATCATGTTTTGGGTGTACTATTCCTTTAAAGTCCAAGTTGAAAGGTCGAGGTTGTTCCCTTTTTTCCTTTTGCCCTTTTTAAATTAACATCTAAACTGTTTGGGTCATCGCTACCCTCTCATCTCCACTTTAGGTGTCCGGTGAACTCCTGTTCTAAACGAAGGCTCAGAAGCACAGCTTAAAGCTGTGTCAGTAATGATGTGACAGACCGAGGGCATTAGCTGCTCTAAATGCAGCGACACTCGCTCCTCAGTGACTGATGAGCAGCGGAGTCACCGTGTCAGTCCCCAGAGCTCAAACAGAGCAGCCAGGCCCACATCGCCCCCCCCGCCCCGCCCAGCAGCAGAGGGCTGGAGTCATCATCTCTGACTAACGGCCTTCACACAAGCCGCACTCCGGCTCATCTGAATGCATTCCCGCCTCCCTCCCCCGCGGTGCATGCATGGTTTACCACTAAAGAGCCTTTTTCTGGCACCTCATAATCGTTATCTGATAGCAAATAGAATAAATTGTAATTGCTTTTTTAAAGCGCAATCAATTTGAGATAATGCACAGAGACATTGGGCAAAGCGGCGTTTGCAGCTGGGTGCAGGAGAAGTCGATCAGTTTTTATTTACTTAGGGAATTTAATTACTCGACTAGAAACGTTTCTGGTGCCGTGAGGAGGCAGTGGAGAATAACAGACCTTTATAGACGTGGGAAAGAAAAAAAACACCAATTAATGTGCTAATGTTGTGCTTTTAGCATAAATGAGCAGATGTCTGTGGCATTTGGACAACAGTTTTCAATATCGTCTCTAAATGGTGTCGAGCTTCCTGTATCGTTTGGATTCATTAGCATCAATCAGAGCAGAAACAAATGATTCGCTTTAAAGGGATTATTTTAGATTTCTGAAGCGAGGTTCTGCTGAATGTTTGGAAGTAGGTAACATCTTACCTGCGGTTCCCCTTTAATGCAGAACGGCCTCTGGAGCGGACAGCTATTTAAAAGCTGTTATCATATAAAGTGTAACACTTTTATGCTCCCTGCAAGTAACATGTTCCTGTGTCTGCAGGCGCGCTGACGCTTCTGTAGGTGCGGCGTTGGGTAATTAATTGGCGCCGTCTCATTCCTGGTGGCTGGGGGTCATGTCCTGTGGGGTCATTCATTTTATGGAAAGAAATGAATAAATAGACCAAATCCAGCTGAAGCTCTAACATTACATGTCATGACTCTGCACTTTTTGGTTCTGTTTAAGTTTTCTTTTTGAGTTTTCAGTTACCGTATTTTTACAACCATAAGGCGCACCGTACTAAAAGGCGCAGTCTCAGTTATGTGTGCCATTACTGTATTTAACACACACATAAGGCGCACCCGATTTAACCTGACTCCGCCAGATGGATTTGCTCTGCATATCCATCTGGAAACCTTCCGTTGAAGTAATTTTGGGAAAGGGCGAAAATACTGGTTAGCTGATTGGCCTATGTTGGTGATAGACGGGCCAAATAAACCAATCAGATCAACGAAGCATATGACGTACTAACAGAGCGACGATGAAAACACAACCACAAGCCAGGCTACTCTTGCCGAAACCAGTCGGGAGAAGAGCAAAGACATCTTTTCCTCTGAGAAAAGCCTCCAGAGCAGTGTTTTGCTCTTCTTTCAGTGAAGAAATACTCTGTAATTCCGATAAAACTTGCTCGATAGCCACGCTAACGCTAGTTTCATCGGCTGAAGCCGCCATGTTCTTTAGACTGAACTGTCGCGCTTCTCGTTGCGTCACACCTCAACCCGCCTCAAAGCCAACGCTGATTGGACGTTCGTTTGGTGAACGGCTCCAAATTTTCTTTAACGGAGAGTCTCCAGACTGATTAGCGAGTGAAACCTTGAAAGCTCGTGAGATCAGGATGGTCTCACGAGGCTACACCGGACTATAGGGCGCGGGTTTTATATACAGGTAAATATCCTCTACTACGTTTAAATACCTCTACTGCGTATCTAAAAATAGAACGGGAGCAAAACTGAGTATGATTGTGCTTTATTCAGGTATTTATTACAAAGTATTAATCAAACCCATCAAAGTCATCATCCTCTGTTTCTGAATTAAACAGCTGCGCTAAATCAGACATGCCAATTTCCCCTTCTTCGCTGTCAGAGTCACTTTCTGTGCCAGGCAGCTCCTCGGAAATGATGCCGGCTTTTGCGAAAGCTGGAACAACAGAGCCAGCAGACATGTTAGCCCAAGCGTCTACAATCCATCCGCAAACGGTGGCGTAACTTGCCCGGCGCTGCCTTCCACTTTTCGTGAAACTGTGGTCTCCGTCGGTCATCCATCGCTCCCACGCCGCTCGCAGCCTTACTTTGAACGGCCGGTTCACACCGATGTCGACCGGTTGAAGTTCCTTTGTCAGACCCTCCCGGAATAACAGCGAGCACAGCGTTCATTTGTATCACCATGTTTTTCACATCGGCTGTGAGATTGGCACGCAAAAAACCACCTGGTCTCCTTACATTCACCTCCCTCAGCCACTCTTTCATCATCTCCTCATCCATCCAGCCCTTTTCATTTGCCTTAATAACGACTCCAGCTGGAAAAGTCTCTTTAGGCAAAGTCTTTCGCTTAAAAATCACCATAAGCGGCAATTTCTGTCCACGCCCACACTTCCCCCTTTAACGTTCTCATGGCGGTCTCAACAACGTCCGCAGTAACAACACACATAGGGCGCACAGCGCTTTAGGGCGCGTCGCACATTTTGAGGGAAAAAAAGACGTTTATATGCGCCTTATAGTCGCGAAAATACGGTATACTTTTTATTCTAGTATTTTCTGTGTTTTCTAGTTTATTGGGTTCATTTCCATGTTGTGTTATTCTGGTTGTTTGTTGCCCCCTTGTGTTTGTTTCCTTTTCCCCTTGGTTCCCTTCTAGCCTGTTCCTTGTCAGCTCATTAGTCCAGTCTTTGTTCCGTCTCCTATATATACTCTCCCTGTGCAGTTCCTCAGTGCTGGTTCCTCATCTTTCCAGGGCTCCTCATCTGTGTTTTCCCTGATGTCCCCTGGATTCTGTCTTTCTGTTTTGTTATTTTGAATTTTTGGATTTCACCTGCACCTCCTGGTCTCTGCATGGTCCTCAAAAACCTCCATCCAATCGTGACTTTATATAGACTACAGGCATGTCTTGAAGACATAAAAACTTGGATGACTCTTAACTTTCTGCTCCTGAATGCTGACAAAGCACAATTTATAGTCTTTGAAAAAGAAGCTGATTAGTCAGTCACTTCATTTGGATGGGATTAAACTGATTTCAGATAATAAAGTAAACGATCTTGGTGTTATTTTTGATCAGGACCTGTCATTTAAATCCCAGATCAAAGAGGTTTCTAGAATTTCCTTCTTTCATCTGCGGAATATTGCAAAAATGAGAAATCTCCTGTCCAGGGGTGATGCTGAGAAACTAGTCCATGCATTTGTTACTTCAAGGCTGGACTATTGTAATTCTTTACTATCAGGAAGTCCACAAACTGTAGTTAAAAGCCTTCAGCTGATCCAAAATGCTGCAACCAGAGTTCTGATGAAAATGAAAAAGAGAGATCATATCTCTCCTATCCTGGCTTCTCTTCATTGGCTTCCTGTTAAATCAAGAATAGAATTTAAAATCCTCCTTCTCACATAAAAAGCCTTAAATGGCCAAGCTCCATCTGATATCAGAGATCTGATTGTTCCTGATGTTCCTAACAGAGCACTTCGCTCTCAATCTGCAGGTTTACTAGTGGTTCCTAGAATTTCTAAAAGTAGAATGGGAGGCAGATCTTTTAGTTCTCAGGCTCCTCTCCTGTGGAACCAACTACCAGTTTTAGTCCGTGAGGCAGACACCCTGTCTACTTTTAAGGCTAGGCTTAAAACTTTCCTTTTTGATAAAGCTTATAGTTAGGGTGGCTCAGGTTATCCTGAGCTATCTCTATAGTTCTGCTGCTATAGGCTTAGACTGCTGGAGGACATAGGGACCCCTTTTTCATCATTCTGCTTCATTCTATCTCTATTCTCCCACTCTGCAGAATCTGTTAGTTCAATCTCTAACGTTCTGCTCTCTCTGCTTTTCCTCATAGTAGCTTCATCTGGTCTGTTCCTGTTTGGCTGTGACTCCATCCTGGAGAGAAATATCAGCTGTGCTGCTGCCATCAACACCTTTGTTTCTAGATGTTGGAGATCGGCCTGTTTTCCAGTGTAGTCCTGTTTCTCTGACTGTGACTAACTGGATGTGCTCTCTTCATCCTCTGATATGGGAGCTGGCTCAGAGCTCGTCTGCCTGGCTGTGTGTTTCCTGGACGGGGCCGCCTGTGGAGCTGGTTGACAGTTGCCTTTTGTATCTATGCTTCTTTTTCTATGTCTGCTTCTGTCTCCTTGAACCCCAGTGGGCCTCAGCAGATGGCCGCTCACACTGAGCCTGGTTCTGCTGGAGGTTTCTTCCTGTTCAAAGGGAGTTTTTCCTCTCCACTGTCGCTACAAGCATGCTTAGTGTGAGGGATTGCTGAAGAGTCAATGAGTCGATGCAATCAGCTGGTTTTCCTTGGATAGAAAACTTTTTAACTGTATGATTTGGTGAACAATAAAGTGCCTTGCCGTGACATGTTTTGAAATGGCGCTATAGAAATAAACTGAATTGAAATTATTTGAAACTGAATCGGATACTTCAGATGGGTTCAGTTGAACAAAATATTGAAAGATAAAAAAGTTCTGAGAAAGCACTTTCTCTCAAAATATTTTTTTTAGTTAAAATGTCTTTCCAAGTTTTCTTTCTTGATTGCATTATTTTTCAAATTTCAACTTACAAAATCAGTTCTTTCTTTGCAACAATAATGGAACAAAATTCACTCCGTATTGTTCCTCCGAAAGTCCAGAAAAACCATTCAACCGGACGGAATGGCATTTTTCCCTGCCACATCGTAAAAAAGTAAAGATAGATCACTTAAGAGCACATCAAACATGTCAAGGCTCAAGACGAGCAAATATTGTTTGCCAAGGTGACAGCTGGAAAAGAAGAAGCACCCGCAGCTGGAGATACTGAGGTTATTGTGTAAAAGGAATGATGGAGCTGTTTGCAGAGGGAGAAGGAATGAAATGACTCAATGCTGTGCTGCAATGATTGGTGTTTTTTGTCAGGACTTGTGGGGCTCATATAACAAAAGTGTCATCTGTAAACGATTCGTATCGCACCGCTGTCATCTTCAGCAGCTGCCTGCTGCATCGTCTCTCCTCTCTTCCATTCTCCTTCCAACAGAGACGCGGTTTTATGAACGACTCACATCTGTTTTTTTAAAGCTGGTTTCCTTTGCTGCAAATCAATACTTGCATCCTTTATTCGTCTTGCTCTATTGATTACATATGACGCCCTATCATCTGCCTCATTCATAAATAATCACACCCAAGGTTAACGCTTTATGCACTACACATCTCCCAGGACTTTTAGTGACACGTCTTATTTATTCCCTGACCTGCAGGGGCCTCGTCGGGCAGCACGGACCTCCTTCCGGCCCCCGGCGGCGCCACCAACTGGACGGCCTCCCTGGTGTCGGACAGCGGGCGTGACAGCGACCTGATCTTCAGGTTTGATGGGCGTCAGGCGGCTAAAATCCCCGACTGGGTGGTTCCCCAGAATCTGACCGACCAGTTCACCATCGCCACGTGGATGAAGCACGGCCCCAGCCCCGGGCTCCGAGCCGAGAAGGAGACGCTGCTCTGTAACTCGGACAAAACCGGTGAGTCATTTGTCATTCCTGAAGTCTCTTGCTGCCAAATCCCCCTGGGCAGACCACAATGAAAAATGATTTGATTGTACCCATCTAGCTTACTCGTCTGTGACACAGATCTGCACAGGGATCCAGAGTCAGGGGCCATTTTCATGAGACATTCATCAAACCTCAGCCCACTTGGCTTTGGTTTAAGTTTCAGTGAGGATTTTCTTTTGTCGACTTTCATCAGCCAGAGTTGACCTCTTTACCTTTCAAAATAAAAGCTGATCAATTAGCAATTTATTGCAAAGTTTTAAGCTGTTTCTGAAAAAGCACATTTTCTTCCATCCTTTAAGTATTTTTTTGTTAAACCAGACGAGAGTTTAGAGAATAGGAGCTGGACACAATCACATTCCTATTGAGCTTTAACAACTCAGCCACTCACCATGAACCTGCAAGTCTCCTGTCAATAAATGGCTCCTTTATAATCGCTTGTAGCAAAAGGATGAAAAGAATCAACACAAAAAAAAACTATTTGCATTTTCCTGTGCATGAACTGACACCTCCGGCTCTCCTTACATTTATCTGTCCATTAGGGATATCCAGTATGGAGTGGATTTTGTTCCATTATTTTTGCAAACAGAGATCATGTTTTGTAAATTCAAATTCGATGAAAATTTAATCCAGAAATAAAACTCTGATTAAAAAATAAATAAATATTCAAAAAGTTTTGAGGGTAAATTTGCTGTTTTGTCTGTTTTTTGTTGTTTTTTTTTTTCCGAATTATTTTTTTCTATTCTAACTTTATGCAGATTACATTTAGTTTTTCAAGCATTGTATTGGATTTATTGGATTATTATTTCCAGATTGATTTTTTAAAATTAGCATTTAAAAAAAAATTTTTTTTAGATTATTCTCTTAGGGCTGGGCTTTCCTCTGGCGTGGAAACATTTACTTCTGTTGGTCTGCTGGGAAAAAACAAGAATATCTTTATAGGTGAAGAGGAAGAGTTTGGAATAAAGTTAAGAGATTCTGATCTGTAGAAATGAATTTGAAAAGAATGCAAAATCTAAAACTAAATCTGAAAATCCAGAAATTGATAATAAAGTAATACCAATAAAATCCTTCTTCCAAATGCTTACCAGCATTTTCCCTAAATTAATTTGATGAAATGTGATTAGGATGGACATCATGAGTTTAAAGGAATAGTACACCCAAAACATGATTAGCCTTCATTTTCTACTCACCCCCATGCTGAACAACACTCTGGAGCGTTCACAACGCTACGGAAACCGCGGCAGACCAAACCAGATGAAAGTGCGCATTCAGCGTCTGCTCTGCCGATAATGCAAGCGTAGAAGAAGAAATGTGCTGTTTACCTGTGCAAAGAAAGAAACAACGAAAGAAAAATGTCTGAGGACTTCAGTGTTGAGGAAGAGCATGAGTTCTTTGCCGAGCTGAATGCGCACTTTCGTCTGGTTTGGTCTGCCGCGGTTTCCGTAGACTCGTGAACGCGCTTTTAGGAAATCCTATACACTACTGTTTATGCTCTAAAAACATTCTAAATGACTTCGTTTCGAGTAAATTCTGGACGCTACCCACTCAGGACACTTGGAATACATTGGACGAGCAGTATGGAGGAATATTGACACGTTTTTTGTGGACTTTTATGGACCTTTCTGCCTCGGGCGCCATAGACCTCCATTATTTGATTGTCAGTAGACAGCAAGAAGCCTCCCAGATCTCCAGATGCATTTGAGATATCAAAAAAGTACTCCAGAGTGTTGTTCAGCATGGGGGTGAGTAGAAAATGAAGGCTAATCATGTTTTGGGTGTACTATTCCTTTACGGAGTAAAGACCTCCTTATCATCACCCTAATCTTTATCTCCGTCCAGCCAGGACTGGTTGGGCTGCTCCACTTCAGAATGACCTTGTTCAATCAAAGTTTACCCTTAATAAAAATCTGCAATAGTTTCTGTCTAAGCTGATAACAGAGCAAAGTAAATCTTAAAGAATCCTCATTTAATGAAATATATTAATGCGTATTACCTTTATTCTATTAAAGTAAGCAGCATCTGTTTTTTAATTAATTCCAGTGAAAGCAGGGTATTCGTCTGACAGCTTCCCGTATTCATAGAAAGCACCATTGTCCCAGTTTCCTGTGGATTCAGGAAGCCAGATGTCACAATGACTTTACCTGACAGTTGTGGTGATTTACTCCCTGGTGCCTACTCATCTGTCTTACTCCTGCAGAGATGAATCGACATCACTACTCGCTGTATGTCCATAATTGCCGACTGGTCTTTCTGCTGAGGAGGGACTTCACTCAGGTGGACACCTTCAGACCTGCAGAGTTCCACTGGAAACTGGAGCAGGTAGGAAGCTCGTGCATGAGAGGAATGACAGACAGGAGAGCCTGTGTCCTCACCTCCCCTTTGTGGATTAAAGAAGTGGGTCACAGAACAGCCTCAGAGAGATACGGAGCATCTATCCTGGATTAGATTTCCCACAGACCTTATTCTAGATTAACATGAAGTTTACCAGCCACCTATTGGGTTATTCATTCTTTGACTGACTCCATGTTTGTTGTATTTTACACAAAAAATATTATTTAATCTGGACAGATTTGTGAAAAGAGGCTTTTTATATTTTATTTGAGGGGTTGTCGTCATAAAAAAGTACATTTTAAGCTGTAAAATGTGGCAAACAGAACTAGGTCTCCTACTTGTTTAAAGTTTTAGATGATGCAACTGTTTAAAAAAGAAGATAAAGCACATCTGCCCCTGCGGCGCTGCACTGCGTTACTATTCCCGTGGAAATGTGTTTCTGTTGTTTTAGAATCAGAGAGAAATGTTGCAACCCTGCTTTGTTTTTGATAAACCAAGAAATGGATAAAAGCTTGGGATGCGTGTTTTCCAAATGTTTAGAAATAGATTCTCTTGTGTCCTATTCATATTTTCTTTAGCGAAATGAATGACTTGAAATGGAAGACCTTTCAGTCAAACCTTGGTTATCTTTTGGATAAAAAAAAATTTAATCATTTTTTCCCTCACAAACTGCAAGTTGGTTGTCGGCATCGGTGTCTGAATGCCGTCTGTCTACCTGTTTTTTTGTGGGTAAAAAATTTATTAATAAGGTTCAGTTTTAGAGCTTTTAAAAGTGTAAGGGCTTTATTATCCACACATCCTATCTATTGTACCACAAAACAGGTTTAAAACAAAGTCAACTGTGTTTTTGCTCAGTTTGTCTGAGAGGTTTCCTCACCTATCCAGGAATCTTTGTCAATTCTTTAGCTCACACCAGTCTGTAGTTTGAGCAATGATGTTTTAAAGCACTAGGAAAGTCCATCCTCCCAAGCACGTTTAAAGTCAAATGCAAGCAAAAGACCCAACCGTCGAGTTGGGATTTATGAGCCTTTTAATATGTATGGATCATGTGATTGGCCATTTGAATCACTTGTATAACTTTGTAAGATTGAATTCTAGGACTGAATAGTAGACAAAATTTAGCATCTGCAATTCAGTCTTCAAGGTGATGTTGTTCTTGTTCATTTTCCCATTGGTACAACGACATTAGCGCATTTCCTGGCTGCTATCAGTTTTGGGCCAAATCCGACATATTCTCATTATCAGTTCGTATGAAATCGTACGTAAAGTTATGCACACTATTTCGTACGTTTTGGACATTTTACCTCAAAAAACCAGATCAGTGCGCAAGCACTGGTAGACAGAAAAAAAGCAGATCCGCGGACGGACGTAAAGATGGGAAAAACAGTGCAATAATCTAGGGATGCAGGATATAATCGGCCCCCTATCGGTATCGGCCTTAAAATTGAATATCTGACATCGGCCACCCCACCGATATTTGATCAGCTTCTGAGTTTCTAAAGTGTAAAAAAAAAAGTTAAGAAATACTACTTCTTCTTCTTCTTCAAAAACTTCTTTTTTTTACAGACTTAAAAACTTCTAAAGACGAGGGAAAAAAATATTGATCCATTAAAATATCACAATATCTTCATATCCTGATATATTGCCATTAAAAACACCATATCAATCTCTTTTACTAATGAAATATTGCTATATGTCATTATGCTACGAAATCCCCCGAAAATTCACGAAATGTTGCCATATTTTTATATGTTGATATATTGACGCGGTATCGATCTATTTTACTAAAAAAAACTCACAAGAATTTGCAAAATATCACGAGAGTTAGTAACAGAACGATGAAATTTCACGAGATTTTGAAAGTAAAATAGATCGATACCGCGTTTTTAAAAATCAATTTGATATCAGCATATGAAAATATATTTGAGTATATTATTTTTCAAAATGTCAGAAATGGATAACAAAACTGCTATTTTCAATGACTACTTATTTTTGTCCAGCTTTAATATCGATATCGGTTATCGGCTACATGAGTTTTAAAATATCGGCATATCGGATTTCGGCCAAAATCCCAATATCGTGCATCCCTATAATGATCACTTCTTCATGTCTCTAACTACGTCGCTTGCTGTTTTATATGTTAGGGTTAGGGTCAGGGTTAGCACTAATTGTTTTTAAAATTCTATGTTGCTGGAATGGTGCGTCAGATGCGCATGCGACGAAAAAAACGTCCAAAACGTACGAAATTACGGTGCATAACTTTTCGTACGATTTCATACGAACACATAATGAGAATACAGTGCCAAATCACAGTGAGCATTGGATCCTGGCTTGGTCATCAAAAATATGGCTCTGCCACTAACCAGAGTATGATGAAAAACTGAGTAGGTCTGTGGATGTTTTGGGCAAAAACGGATTGCGTTAGCGTAACTACTGCAACGTAAACAAAGTGCTTGTGTTTTATTGTGCTATTTTTGTAGCCTGGGTCTCATTCCGAACTTAGTCCCACCCACAAGGTTTGAGGTCGGGAAGTTCGGTCTGGCATTGCTCCATAGTAGCGCGAGTATGATCGCCCACTCTCGGGCAATCCAATCAAATTGTCAGGGCGGGCTTTATACGATGATGGACAGATGATCAACAGTAACGTAATCAACCACGTGACCAAAGCTTACCTATTTGTACCCATTCACTGTGTTTACAAGAAAAAGTTTGTTTAAATGATGCAAGTCAACCTCATAGTCCTCCGAAGTCACCATGAGTAAAATTAGACCACTAATGAGCTGTTTCTCAGTTTGCCGATCAGTTTCCTTTCTGATAACAACATAGGAAGATTGGCTTTTAGGCTAAATCTGGTCGATCCGTCATAGTCTTGATTTAGACCAGAAGTAGTTGGTCTAAATTGGTCTGTTTGGTTCGTCTGATTTCGTACCACTTTAGTCCAATAGTAGACATTTTAAACACAGTTTCCAACGTCTTTTCAACAATCGCAAAATTAGAGCTTTTTACCTTTCGCTTTTCAACCAAATGTAGACATCGTTTGGACGTAAATCGTGTTGTTTTTTCAATTTTTGCTTGATGGGTAAGCTTTAGTCGCTTGAATATGTTGGTGTAGAAAAATACAACTCTATCAGCACAGATGAGGAGAGAAGCAAACTATTCATACAGAAGATTATGTATTCTGTCCAAAAATGTACTAAATATGCAAAAACATATATTTAACTTTGTTGGACTTAAATTTGGTAGATGAACCTAAACTGGTGCATTTTTTTGAGTATGAATTAATTTCCCAAATGTCCATGACTATGAGGAGTCAGATTAGATTTAGAGCACTAGTTGTGAGGGTGAACTTGGTTGGTGTACATTCACTAGGAGGCGCCTAAGGTAGCATTTCATGTTCTACCTGAGAGGACTTTCCTGCTGGTCCTGCATTATTTAGTCTTTTTTTGTTTTTCCTCTGCCTGTTTCATACATCATTAAAGAGCTTCTGTGTGTTCTGAGCTGAAACACCGACTCATACAGTTTCAAAAAAACCTTGAAGTATGAATGTAAATATTTTTCTAAATAGCTAATTATTGTATAAAAAAAGGTACTAACTTCTTTATAATTATGCTTACGTTTTCTTTTGAACATTTGTGTTGGATTTTTATAAAGGGTGGCATTGTAGAATTAGATTTGGTCACCATTGGGCGGCGTGTTGCTGTGTGTGTTGTGTATCAGCAACAGCTGTCTCTTTCTCAAGGAGGCTGTCCAACTGTAAGACAGGTGACCTAGACTCCAAAGACACCACACTTGCAAACAGCAAGGACATTGGTTTCAGGCTAGAGCCACACAGCTGAGGCTGGACGTCCAGATGGAGCACCTTAGGCTAATTTGATCAGACGGATCACTGGTCTTGATTGGGGAGAGAGCATGAGCGAGGTCATCCATCACCCTCCTGACAGAAAATAAAGTGTGTGTGAGTCATCTTCTTAGGACTTTTTGGTCAGAGAGCTCAAAATATCTTGCTTTGTTTCGTATTCTGTTGCCACATATACCTTCTGTGAAGCAGCTCTTAAAATTTGCCTTCTGAAGTTGCAAGAAACCGATTCTCTTGTTTAGAGTGGGCTGACATATACAAAAATTTGATCATTTCTGATTCATAACACTAATGTTTTGCAAAAAGGTAACTGACATAAGAACTCTGTGCTATGATAACCTCTTTTTTTAAAGAAACTAAACTAAAATGTTGCGGCCAAGAAATTCCGCATTAAATGTAGCTATATAATATTTATATTGGTGAAGTTAAAAATAATTAACCTGACTCCACCAGATGGTTTTGCTCCGCACATCCATCTGGAAACCTTCCACTGAAGTAATTTTGGGAAGGGGCGAAAATACTGGTTAGCTGATTGGCCTATGTTGGTGATAGACGGGCCAAATAAACCAATCAGATCAACGAAGCATATGACGTACTAACAGAGCGACGACGAAAACACAACCACAAGATCAAACTCTTGCCGAAACCAGTCGGGAGAAGAGCAAAAACATCTTTTCCTCTGAGAAAAGCCTCCAGAGCAGTGTTTTGCTCTTCTTTCAGTGAAGAAATACTCTGTAATTCCGATAAAACTTGCTCGATAGCCACGCTAACGCTAGTTTCATCGGCTGAAGCCGCCATGTTCTTTAGACTGAACTGTCGCGCTTCTCGTTGCGTCACACCTCAACCCGCCTCAAAGCCAACGCTGATTGGACGTTCGTTTGGTGAACGGCTCCAAATTTTCTTTAACGGAGAGTCTCCAGACTGATTAGCGAGTGAAACCTTGAAAACTCGCGAGATTAGGATGGTCTCACCAGGCTACAAAATAATGTCACCTATGGCATTTCATGTGCAACCATGCTTTGCACAAAATTTGTTTAAAATATGTGCAAATCCATCAGTAACTTCATTTTAGTGCCTTTAAAAATATTACTTTACAGAGTAATATCACTAACCTTTAGTCAATGCATTTCCA